AATCCTCCACCTATTCCAATTTCTAATCCTAATCCTATTGATCCTAATTTGACTATCCAAAATTCGTGTTTCAATCATCCTGGTCCTAGAAATCATCGTTTTTGGTATTATCAATATTTCGACTCTTACAAAATCTGGGAAGAACGTATTCCTTCTCGTCAAGCTATGTTAGCTATCAATTTTAAATATCTTCCTCTTTTACAAGAGTGGAAATTTGATAAACTCTTTGACCTTGAACCCATAGTTTACCATCAACTTGTTCGTATTTTCTATTCTAATGTCATTTGTGTTAAAAACCAAACTGAAACCGAAACCATAGGAATTCGTTCCTACCTTCTAGGAAAATTCTTATATATTGACTCGGCTTACATAGCCAATACATTCGGATTAGATAATGATGAGATTTCAAATGAAAAACAGGTTTTAGGATCTCATTATAAAAGAAGGGATAGTGCAAGTGTCCTAGACCTTCATGAACGTTTTCTTCATCTAATGATTTCTTAGTGGTTTCGACCATCCGGAGGTCGTTATTCTACTCTTAGAGCCTTAGATCTTTGGTGGTTACATTGTTTCGAAAACAATATTAAAATCAACCTACCTCAGATTATTTTTGCTGAAATTGTTGAAACCGTAAATCTTGTTCCTAACAAAAAACTCTGTTCATCTCTTGTTTACGGTTGTATTTTGAGTAATCTGTTTTCCAAAGCTGGGCTTAGAGTCGGTCTAGATGCCGTTTTTCCCCTTAAGAAACAAATTAACATTCTTTCCTTAACGAGAGCGGGATGGATTAAGGATAAGAAAACCAGTGAATGGGTTCGATCTTCTGCAAATACTCCGGAAGCTAGTTCTTCACAAGCTCCACTCGAAGCTGACGAAGATCTCGAGCTTGAGCAATTAATGCGAGACATCGATGAAGCTGAAGATGAACCTGAGCAGCCCGAAGAGCAAGCACAACAAACGCATCCAATGCCTCCATATTTCCAATCCTTTATGGAGACATTCGGTTTTCGACATGCTACTGTGGATTTGCGCTTTACTTCTATAGAGTCCCATTTATCCACAATGGGAGCTCAACAATTAGAAATTCTTCGGGAAATGCGTGCAAATAATAAAGAAACCAACGTACGTATTAATGACCTCACTAACGAAATGGCCGCTATGCGAGCTCGTTTTCCTCCTCCTTATCAGGATATGTGATTCAATGTTTTGCTTTGAACTCCAAACTTATTGTTTTAACATTTTGAATATTTTGGGATGTTTGAATTTGTGGATTGATTGACTTTGAATTTGTTTGGATTTATGAATGGTTAGAAATTATCTATTTGGTGTGATTAAATTTATTCATTATTGCATCATTTACTTCATGATTAGATATATGACCAATTTTGCCATTTCACATTAATTATGAATATTGATTATGAAACTAATGGCTAACGTTTCTCTTGCTTGTGATCTTAGCAGCTTATATTATATATAATCAATTGGCTAACTGATTTCAAAACCTTGTTTAAATTCTTTAAAATGTCTTTTTGATTTAACAAAAAGGGGGAGAAGTGTTAAAGTGTTTTTAAATGATAAATGGGAGAAGTGTTAAAGTAAGGGGGAGTAATTTCAAAACTTGATTTCAAAATCTTAAAATTACTAAAATGTTTTTGTTATATCAAAAAGGGGGAGATTGTTGAAAACATTTTGATATTTCGATATAACAAATTAAGTTAAATGAATTTTAAGATTTTCCAAATGATTTTCTAAGTATATTCGATAGAATTATTCGAATATCAAAACATTACTCCAAATCTTTCAAAGATCATTTTTAATCCTTACTCAAAGTGTAAGATTAAGTTTTAATCTTAAAACAATTTTACAAAGTATTTCGAACCATTCAAAGCCAAAAATTCTAGATTGCTCAGAGGGAACCGATTCCCCCCCCAAGGGGTACCAATTCCCCCCCCCTTGTATAACGGTTGAAATATTTGAATTTTACACTTAGGGAACCGATTCCCCATAGGGGGTACCGATTCCCCCCACGCTCCAAACTGTTTTATTAATTGTTTTCACACTAAAACGGCTATATTATTTTCTCTAATTATCCCCAACGTTCAGAAGTGATTCAAGGTGTATTTAAGCAAGCTTAGAAGCCATTGATCAATAACAAGAAAGATCAAGCAATTAGAATCAAGAGAAAATCAAAGAGAAAGCATCAAACCTCAAGTTTGAACATTTCAAGCCTATTTTTCATTCAATATTCATTTTGCTTTCAAGAACACTTATTGTGCTCAATTGTATTTATTCTTGAGTGTTCTTTCTTTGTTCTAGAATTGTGCAAACATATTTGCCTTGTGAGGTTTTTCTTATAAGTTTGCAAATTTGTATTTCTCTTTGAGAAAAGAGTGTTCTCAAGAATTGGGGTATATTCTTGAGGGAGTTGTAAGGTTATCTCTTTGGCCTCAAAAGAAATAACAAATTAGTGAATTTGTTGGAAAATCCTTAGTGTGGATAGCTAAGGTAGTGGACGTAGACTTTGGTTGATAAAGTCGAACCACTCTAAATCGCTGTGCAATTTCTTTCAATTTTCTGCAAAAGCTTCCACCAAATTTTTTAATTGCCAATTCACCCCCCTCTTGGCCATATTCGTCAATCGATTAACTCAACAAAAACTAAAATCCCAAATGGACCAAAGCCTAACCTACTGCAGGGGTGAGCAAAACTAGACTCTAAAAAATAGTTTTTTTATTCGACTTGATTCGAAAAAACTCGACTTGAATTGAGTTCGAATTGTAATTTTATAAATTCGACTCAACTCGAAAAAATTTCAAATTCAAATCAAGTAAAATCGAATAACTTAAAATTTTGAGTAATTATTATATTGATTTTCAAGTTTAAGTCGAAGTTTGAGTGAGTCCCTTGACTTTATATGGTATATGTAAATCACATTTTAAAAAATACAAAAAATGGATATATATATTGTATATGATTATAAAATATCATTTAAATTAGAATTAAATAATTTTATAATATTATAAATATTTCTAATTAAATTTAAATAGAAAGTCAAAATTTTGAATTATAAAATAAGACTTGTCAATTCGAATAACTCGAAATTTTTTGACTCGACTCGACCAAACACTCACTCTATTGATATGTGGGAATATAAATGTTTTTAGTTACCCTTTAAAAAAATACAAGTTATTTTTCCCGTATTTACGCTTCTATGTAGCTCGTGATCTCTCATCATTCTCAGACTCTTCTTCCCCATTTCTACATGGGCCTTTTTGGGCTCTCTTACCAGTTTCACAGGTATATTATTAGTATTTTTATTGATTTTAATCTATTTCCATTTCTTCCTTTTTCTCTGCTTTCCCTTTTTGCTTTCTCCGGGTCTTGCCTTCTGTCCGAGTTTTAGTTTGGGTTGTCAAAAAGATAATAAAAACAAGGGCTTTTCCCTCTCCTCTTAATTGTGTTTAAAAACTGTTTTAATAGATTGTAAATTATCTGGGCAAAATTTATCTTTTTTCTAGGATAGAAGGGCTTGTGAGTTTTTTTGTTGTTGCAGAATCTTTGATATAGCTTCTGATAAGTTTACAAGTTTTATTATTCGGTATCAAACTCAATTTTGAATTTGATAAGAAACCACAAAAGATGACAAGGGTTTCTCGAAATTCTCTTAGATATAACAGTAACTCTGTTGATGAAGAAGCCAGGGCTAGAAGAAAGCATCAAAACCTACTGCATGAGTTCTTGGAATTGCAAAAGGTTAGTCCTTTGCCTCAATTTCTCTATTTAGTTGTGCTTTGTTAATCAATCAGGCTGCATTTTTTTATAATCAAATAATAGATCTCTCGTTTTGATGCCATAGCCTGCACGAGAATGATATAGACTTTGTTTCTGCCCAAGATTTTTACTAGTTTCTTACTGGTGAAAAATGATAGAACTTTCCTAATTGTTGGAATGTTTATAGGTCTATATGAAATATATTGAAACTTAATTATCACAAAATATAGCTAGTGAGTGTTCATAAGTTTACATGTCCAGTTATAAGGATTCTTACTGTTTGTACTTTGAGTAAGCAATTGATTATTTCGTGTCGATCACCTTCTAGGAATTTGTTTCGATGAAGAACAAATTGGAGACGGTTAACCAGATGCAAGGAACCCTTTTGAATGAAGTTCGGTATGATATATATTTCCTGAATTTACATGGACTTTTGTATGTTTTAATCAATGATCAAGAAGAAGGTTCCATGAAATAAACTTATATTCCTTTTCTCCTGAACTGTAGATTCTTGAGACAGAGGTACAACTATTTATCAATGATCAAGTCTCAAGAAAATGAACTACAAGAAGATTCTGTTCAATCACAAAATCGCTACCTGCAAAGCAAAATGGCTAAGAAGCATGGTGTCAAAGAATCTATTGAGAGGAGACCGAGTTCTCTTCCTGATTCACATCCAAATGTGGTAATCAACATTAAATATATAGCTTCAGAACTTGCTGTCCATTATCTGTAGGCATATTGGAATCAATTGAGTATTTTCCGTATGGCAGGTTCATGAGGAAGAGGGTGGGAGAAGTCATGTAGGTGTTCAGGCGGCGGCGAGAAAAGGGAAGAAGCCAAAATTGCGATTGATCAATGGCAAAAGAGTTGGGAAGAGGAAATTCTCATGGCGAGATCAGGTGGCTTTGAAGGTCGTCTAAATGTAATAATAAGTATTGTTTTCACTCACAGGTTAGCAGGATGAACTGTCTCCCTGCTATAACTTTTGATTGGTATTGATACAGATTAGTACTATCATTGTCTTACCCTTATTTCTTCAAAACTGTAAATCAGGGAAAATTTGCTGAGTTTGGTATTAAATGAATACATTGGAATTTTCTTATATCAGAGTCAATTTTTTAAAGTCTTGCTCATGGTAACCTATGTGAAGTTTTATTTTTGTTAACCCTTGATCAACATGGCAATCTGGTACTTTAAACAAAACTTCAGCCATTAAACCAAAAACATTTGAAAGTAATCAACTATACATGTTGTAACTAAAATTGTCATGGTGGTATAGCTGTGACACACCACACCACCCCAATTACATGATTGTATATTTTTAAGAAAAGGAAACAAAGCTCGTTAACATATATATGTGTGTGTATTGTTTTCATGTCATTAAATCAATCCTGCTCTAAGCCATCTATAAATGCATATTCCAATATTTGAGAAATGTGTTCTCAAATCTTCTCAGAAAAGAGGATTAGGTACCTCCCCCACCACCAGTTGCAACTATTCTCGACTTCACTATGGAGTCGATTCAGTGTCAACTGATTTGCATTGCTGCTCTTCAGGTGAGTCAGACTTGATTGGTTTCTTGAACTGCACTAAGATCATGGTCATATTATCACAACCCTCGCCATTGGCTGTTGATGGTGCTAAGCATCTGTTGAGTACCCTCTCACAAATAACAGGAAGCTTGCTTTCCTGCATTGCAAGCAGTTGGTACTAAGCATACGTACATTAAAAAAGGTGCGGAATTGATCAAGCACATTTGCGTAAAGTAGGACGAAGTTAAAGAAGCTTATGCACATACAGAATGCAGTTGTTCATGAATAAAGTCTACTAGCATCTGACTTGACATGCAATCCCTGATTTAAAAAAAAATGAAAAGGCATTTAGAAATTAAATTCAGGATGGAGATCTTGTCAGAGTGAACTTCGAAGGGTATAACCAAACAATTTTTAAAGTGAGATATACTAAATTCTAATTATGTTATAATCTAAATGGAAACAACATTAGATAAATATACCAGATTCCATCACATGCCAGCACAAGAAACTCATCATCATCACAGAGCTCAACCTAACAGCAAATTTGTAAGATGCGTAAGTTAATACTCAATGCTCCAAAGATATTTAGGATATAAACACATATTAGAGCGAAAACGGAAAATTTATTAGTACAGTGGTCTGGTCTGGTCATACTGCTGACAGATAATATACTCACGGTGTTTATATCTGGATTTGCAGATACAATTTGCTTTTCAGCAGGCAAAACTGTATTCTGCTTGAATTCCGTTTTAGAAATGATATTGAAAATTTTATGATATAATGCTAGCACTTCGATACACCTCTCTTTTGGAAACCCAAGTACTAAATCAGCAAGTTCAAGTAGTACCCTTATTGTTTATAGTTATCAAGCAGGGCAGTAAATTACCTATAGCTCTTGAAAGATTCAAACTGCCATTGACACGTCCTGCATGGATAAAACCACCAGCCTTCAAAATCCTCTCTTTCTCCGCCTCTAGATCAGGTTTGTGATCTCTAGAGAGATTATATGCCTACGAAAAGAAGCCACATGAGAAATAAATCAAATAAATCACTTATTCAGAGAGAAAAGAATGTTCCCTACAATGACACTTACAATTAATGCCCATAATTCAAAGTTACAATAGCCAGTCCATCCACAAATAGTCGATAAAAATATTACACATTTTAGTAGCCACTCGAAATGAAACTAGCTAATTTCACCAAATTAACAGAATATTACCTGACCCTTTCTTGATATCACACAACGAGAATCACCGGCATTTGCTACAAGAAGTTGGTTGTTTCTTATAACTGCTACGCACGCTGTGCTCCCAGAAGTTGGTCCAGAAAAGTCAGAGTGAGGGCCCTGATTACAATTTTTAAAAGAGAAAATAATTTTAGTGACCGAAAATACTTTATAATATACGATTTTAATCATTTTTTTTTATTTACGAAAATAATCAACAAATTCGCAATGCGAACTCCAATTTCACAACACAGTTTTCAAATTCGTAACGCGATTTTCTAAATTCGCAACGCGATTTTCCAAATTCGCAACGCGATTTTCAAATTCTCAACTCGAATTTAAAATTCGCAACACATAATTAAAATTCACGTTGCGAATTTCACTATCACAACAGCACACCTTTCCTTTCGCAACACATGTTTGTCTCACTCCCTCCCCCCATTTCAAATTCGCAACACGTTTTTCATATCGCAACAACACCCCTTTCCTTTAGCAACACATGTTTGTCTCTCTCTCTCTCCCCCCTCACTTTCGCAACAGCCCTCCTCAGCTCTTTCATGGTATATCCCTCTCTCTATCTCCTTATTCTCTCTCTCCTTTCTCTCTATCTCCCTCCCTCCGCAGAATGAGAATAAGCGGCAAGCATTCCCTGGACTTGTGTGGTCCAGATGATGGCTTGGGTGCCTGCATGAACAAAGATTCAAAACAAAATTAACCCGCAGCAGCATCAAATTGGTGAAATGCCAAAAAAAATCGAGAAGAAAACACACAAGTGCACCACCAAGCTTGTCGAGCATCCAATGCCTTGGAGCATTGGGCCACTTCAAATGTTTCTTCAACCCTCTAGCCTGTTTAAACAAGAACAATAGGAAAAGTTCAGTCAAAAGAGAAGTGTTAGAGACTTTGAAACAGAATAACAAAAAAGTAGTAATAATAACTAGACCCAAATCAAACAAAACAGAGAGCCTAGAAATTCAAGCAAATAAATCATTAAATAACTTGAAATAAAACAGATATAACGGAACCTAACACCATTTAGAAACTACTATGGATCCCATCAGCAAATAGAAAGAAAGGAGAGAGAGAATAAGGAGATAGAGAGAGGGAGATACCATGGAAGAGCTGAGGAGGGCTGTTGCGAAAGTGAGGGGGGAGTGAGAGACAAACATGTGCTGGGAAAGGAAAGGTGTGTTTGTAACGTGAATTTGAATTATGTATTGAATTTGAGATCGAGTTGTGAATTTAAAAATTATGATGCGAAATTGGAAAATCATTTTGGAAACTGTGTTGCGAAATTGGAGTTTGCGTTACGAATTTGTTGGTTATTTTCGTAAATCTAAAAAAAATTAATTAAAATCATATATTATAAGGTATTTTCGATCACTGAAGTTATTTTCTCTATTTAAAACCATACATGAATGATGCATAAAATTGTTGCAAAATAAATAAATTTCTTAATTGAACAAACAAATTAATGCAGGGCGTATAACAATATTATGCAATCACAGGCAAACTGGATTGCACATTTATGATCCCTGCCTCACCCGAAAAGGTAAGTACAGGCTAATCGATGCTGCATATATACACCAAATCAGATAAGAGTTAAATGTAGCAATGAAGTTCTGTTCTTCGATCTTGGTTTCCATCATAATTTGTGGCAAGCATCAAATTTCAGTTCAGCATTAAGGACAATATGGTGAGTATATTCTCTATGTTTTCATATGTACCTCCTCAAAGGCCCAGTCATCACCTTGGGCAATACCATCACTACCCTTCGGGGACCATATCAATCCTTCAATCATGCCAGTAAACTTGTCTATTTTATCACCCAAAACAGCTAATTCTCTCCATCCTCTTTGTCCACGCATCATCTCATCCATTCTGCGCTAAAACGTAACTCGAATTGGAAACACATGAAACGAACAAAGGGAAAAGGGCATTCAACAACAAACAAGAAAGGGTGGAGGCTGGCAAGGAGAGAGCAAAATAGGTAATGGAAGCACCATCATTTGTGATAAGTTTCTCTTTTCATTATCTTCTCAAAGGCTTGAAAAAGCATTTTTAATCTTTGATGAAAGAATTCTACAACCAGATATAAGTTTTGAAGTACAATTCTTAACCAAAGAAATGACATTGTTAAGATTACATCAGAAAATCAACAACAGTGTTCTCTCAAAAGGCATATAGATAGTAATTCAACAAGCATGGAGCATGAATGCATGCATAAGATAGAAATTAGCAGTCCTAAAAAGGTGGAACGAAAAGGAAAAGTTACACTCATATTTCAAGTATAAAAGAATTAATAAATGTACAATATCACTAAGGTGAACTAAATATGGAACCCCAAAATCATTTTGGCATTAGAATATCGTTGTTGACTTCCACAACAGCAGAAAATAGTTAACAGACATAAGCTCAAGTAGTCAAATTAAACAACCTGAAAAATGCTTTTTGAAGTGACGTCCCTATGTCACCAGCTGCATATGCTTCTTGCTTGAGAACCTGCTGGTGAAGATACTTGGCACAGAACTTTGCAACAACCTTGCCTGCAAGTTAGCAATCTGGATAAGTTGAAGAAACCTTAATAGTGATAAAAACCAAAATTCACTAAACCACCATAAACATATTAGCAGAAGCATCAGAAAAGAAAAAAAAATGGCTTCAAGATCCTCCAGTAAAGACAAAAGTGTACGTATAAGAATGGGAAACAGAAAAGACACAAGTTCAGATGGTGTATAGAAACAAAAGCAAAACATGTATTAGGAACTGAAAACAATCATAAGAAGTACCTGAACCGAACCATCCAAGTCTTACCTCCATGACCATCATAAACATCAAAGAATGAAGTCGAATCATCGAGATCAGGATATGCAGCAGGATATGCAGCATGCTAACAAAACAAATAATAGAAAATAACTACATCATATCCATAATATGACAAGATTTGAACATTTGGAAGAAATGTGAGAAAATGTAAGCTACATACAGTATGCTCAATTAAGGACAAAGACCCTAATACATTTCCTGTGTCGTTGAGGTTGTCGTAACCGGTTTTCGTCCGGGCACGAAATTTTACTTGGCGGGAAAAGTAATATGAATAAATTAATGATTTTGATTTTAAAAAATATTTTGGGAGTCGCCATCGGCCTTTTGGGTCAGGTAGGTCGAATACCTAAAAAAATCATCTTTTAAAAGAGTTTTTAAGAAAACATCATTTAAAAGATAAACTAGTCTGCGTTTTAACCAAAAATTTGTTCTTTTTAATAATAAAAAGGGATTCGTGGTCGGTTACGTTTAGGGAATGATTAGCACCCCTACAACGTCCAAAATTGGTACTTTTTAATTATAAATTGTCTCTAATAATAGAATTTAAGAATTCAAATATATTTAATTTATAATTTTGTTATCTCAAATTTATTACTATAATTTTTAAGAAAATCTATTAATTTATATATATTTATAAATAAAATATTTATTTATTTAGAAATATCAGAAAATGACTTCTAGGTGCCTTAAGACAGCTCTTTTCTTAAAAATAAATAAATATTAAAATAACATCTTTCTAAAAATAATTAAAATAAATTAATATATATATAATTTATAAAAATATGATATTTATTTATTTAAGAATATCAGAAAATGACTTCTAGATGCTTTAAGACAGCCCATTTCTTAATATTAAAAAATAAATATTAAAATATGATTATTTTCTTAAAAGTAATTTATATAAAATTAAAATTTTAAATAGGATTTTTATTTAATATATATAAATATAAAATAAGTAAATAAATATTATATTATATATATTTATATGATACATAATAATATTCAATAATAATTAAATATAAACATATAAAAATAAATAAATAACGACTAAATAATAAAAATAAAATTATATTATTAAAATATAAACGATAATAAAACTTGTAAAATAAATGAAAGTATTAAAATTAAGGACTAAATTATAACATATTAAAATTAAAAGCTCTAATTTAAAATATTATAAAAACTAAGTATTAACAGTATGATTTATCTTATATTAATTATTCGGGATTGAATTAAAAATTAATAAAGTTACAGGGGCTAAATATATTATTTACCCTAAATTACATAATTACTGGAAATGACTAAAATATAATAAAATAAAATTCAGGAACAAAATTAAAATGTTCTAAAACTTAATTTAGTGACTAAAATATAAGTCTATAAAATCAGGAGGATAATGCGTATGGTTTTCCCATCCGGGAAATTACACAGAGGCCCTCACCAAAACTACGTCGCTTTGGTAAGGGTATAAATAGGCCAAAATAGGCCTAAATTATCATTTCTCTCCATTTGCTTCTCTCTCTTAGAGAGAGAAGCTCTAGCTTCTCTCTATAGCTCCTTCACCGGAGGAATACCGGTGACCGGCCGGTCACCGTCGCCGGCCACCGTCCACGGTGGCCGAAATTTTACAAAATTACCCAAAAAAAATCCTCTTTTATTTCTAAATCCGATTCCGGCTTCCTCTTGTTCTAAAAACCCCCAAACTCCGTAGATCTAAGTTTTTACCTTCGGTTTTTTGGTGGTTTTTCGGTGATTTGGATGCTCCGACGAAGGTAAGTTGCTCGGTATCTTCACTCTATTTTATTATTTTTTTGTTTGATTGCTCTACCCCTCCCCTTTGCTTCATTGATGGGGGCTTTTTATAGGCTTTTTCGTACACCCTTTGGACCGGTTAAAGGAGGATAACCCGGTGAATCACTGGCCAAAGGAGGTGATGGAAGCCACTGGAACTGGGACGTGGAGGGGCTGCTGTCCCAGCTTGCTAGAGGCTGTTTGTAGCTGCAACGTGGAGAGGCAGCTGTCGTTGGTTGCTGGATAAGGAAGGTAAAAATGGTGATTACAGCTGCCCCTCTTTGCTCGTTGCTGTGGAACAGGAATGGAGCAAAGACAAAAAACACCATTTTTAGCTTGAATTGTCCAAACTTTTGAGCTATAAGTTCTTCGTATTATGAACTCTTCTGCTGGGAATGACGATCCACCTCCTTCTGTGATGGATTTGACAAAAGGTTAAACAATGTTGATGTTGATATATTTCTCTCTATGACGAGTCGAACAAAAGGTTGAATAAGTTCTTCCCATTATGCACTTCTTCTTCTTCTTCAGATGAGTTCTTCTCATTATGAACTTCTTCTGGAAATGCTGATCCTTAAAAGAGGTATTGATTCAACTTCATATGTGATGAATTAAGATAAGGCCGAACAAGTTTTTCTCATTATGAACTTCTTCTTCCTCTCAAGATGAGTTCTTCTCATTATGAACTTATTCTTCTTCTTTAGATGAGTTCTTCTCATTATGAATTTCTTCTTCCTTCTTCAGATGAGTTTTTCTCATTATGAACTCTTCCACTGGGGATGACAATTCATTTCCTTCTGTGATGTAATCTAGCAAAAAGTTTGAACAAGTTCTTCTAATTATGAACTTCTTCTTCGTCAGATGAGTTTTTCTCATTATGAACTTCTTCTGGAAATGCTGATCCTTGAAGGAGGTGCCATTGATTCAACTTTATATGTGATAAATTAAGGCAAGGTTGAACAAATTATTCTCATTATGAATTTCTTCTCCTTCTTCTAATGAGTTCTTCTCATTATGAACATTTCTGGAAATGTTGATGTTGATCTATCTCCTTCTGTGATAAAGTTAAACAAAAGGTTGAACAAGCTCTTCTCATTATGAACTTCTTCTTCCTTCTTCAGATGAGTTCTTCTCATTATGAACTTTCTCTGGAAAAATTGATGATGATCTATCTCCTTCTGTGATAGAGTCATGCAAAAGGTTGAACAAGCTCTTCTTATTATGAACTTTTTCTGAAAATGTTGATCCATCGAGTGATAAATTCGAGTAAAAGGTTGAACAAGTTCTTCTCATTATGAACTTCTTTTTCCTTCTTCAGATGAGTTCTTCTCATTATGAACTCTACCTGGTAATATTGATCCATCGAATGATGAATTCGAGCAAAAAGTTGAATAAGTTCTTCTCATTATGAACTTATTCTTCCTTCTTCAGATGAGTTCTTCTCATTATGAACTCTACCTGGCAATGCTGATCCATCGAATGATGAATTCGAGCAAAAATTTGAACAAGTTCTTCTCATTATGAACTTATTCTTCCTTTTTCAGATGAGTTCTTCTCATTATGAATTCCTTCTGGAAATATTGATGCTGATCTATCTCTTTCTGCGATAGAGTCGAGCAAAAGGTTGAACAAGCTCTTCTCATTATGAACTTCTTCTTCTTCTTCAGATAAGTTCTTCTCATTATGAACTTTCTCTGGAAATGCTGGTCCATCAAGTGATGGATTTGAGCAAAAGGTTGAACAAGCTCTTCTCATTATGAACTCCTTCTTCCTTCTTCAGATGAGTTCTTCTCATTATGAACTCTACCTGGTAATGCTGATGACCCGAAGATTTTGAAAACATCAAAAAGCTCCCGAAGGCTTTTTGGAAATATCATGCACTGTAGGACTTACAGATGACCCTAAGGCTTTGAAAACATCAAAAAGCTCCCGAAGGCTTTTTGGAAACATCATGCACTGTAGGACTTACAGATGACCCTAAGGCTTTGAAAACATCAAAAAGCTCCCGAAGGCTTTTTGGAAACATCATGCACTGCAGGACTTACAGATATGGGAAATAGTTTACTAAGTAAGAAACTATGGAAATCGTTTTCTTACTATTCAACAATTTCATTTTCAGAAAAGATTGAATGAGAAACTATGAAAATCGTTTTCTCATTATTTTTCAAAATAACATGTTAATTGGGTAACATGCCCCAATCTCAAGATAATGCTGTTGGAAATAGTTTACTAAGTAAAAAACTAAGAAAATCGTTTTCTTACTTTTCAACAATTTCATTTTCGAAAAGATAAAATGAGAAACTATGGAAATCGTTTTCTCATTATTGTTCAAAATATCATGTTGATTGGGTAATATGACCCAATCTCAAGATAATGCTCATTCTTGTGGATTACGTCCATATATTCTTCAGATGTTTGCGTGATTCCTGTATCTGTGGTTTTGAATTCTACCTTCTTCTTGTAAGGTATTTTCATCATGAATCTTCTTGTTCTTAAGAAGATATGTAAAACTTCATGTTTGAATGCACTCAGATGTATCAATGTAATGCATTATCTATTATGAAAATGATGTTCTTATGATTGCATGAATGTTGATGCAATCTTCATTTGACTTCAAAGTGGTGAACTTGGTCTTCCTTCACTTCATTATTTATTTCCAAGGTTACCCCTGGAATGTAGCAACTTATGCTATCAAGCTTTCATTTCTGCAGAATCATCTGATCAATCTGTATCTTTGTGTCTTCTTTGCTTTATTAAAGTCTCAGAGGAAATGTTTCATTTATGGAACTCTTGTCATAGTCCAAACTATGATCTTGATGCACCATTCTATCTTTGATAAAACCAACTTTCTTTGCTTGGACTTGTGTAGAAATCCAATAAAGCTTTCATCTTTGAAAAGAAAATCTATCATCTTTAAAAAAGAGAATCTATCATCTTTGAAGAGTGTAGATGTAGATATGTCTGACTCAACGGGGATTAATTAGGAGAGTAGAGTCTGTTCTGATTTGACTCTTGAAACAGATCATAAGGAAGATTTATCCTAATTCCTTTCATGTCTCCACATATAATCAGATCTCGAATAAGGCAACTTGGACCATATCATGTTGAGATGCTTAACAACAACCCGTCATTCAACCTTAGTTGGCTCCACTAGTTTCTTGTTTTCAAAATTTCAGCTCTCCTTCTGTGGAAAGAAATCTTCATCATATCTCACTTCTAATCTTGGGGTTGAAGAAGACAAACTTCATCTTGGATCAATAAATGGAAACCATA